GGTTATTATATTGTAATGGACTTTTGGACCATGGTTGACTCTGGGTAACTGAAATTACAAAAAGTGAAACTGCAGATAAGTGGGGGCAGGCACCTTTGTGCCAGTTTTAGATCACCCGATAGGTTCCTTAAAAGTGACTTAGTTGTAAAATTGAACATCCATAGAAATATTTTTAACTGATAAAAACTAAAGAAAAGATTGCATGGTGCATCAGTTTTCAACCCGTTCTAGAGAGCCTTGGACTGCCAATCACACTTCTGGAATCACCAACCTTCAGCTGTGCAACTGTGACAGCATCTGCAGACCCGAATGGTGATGGGAGCTTCACAGCCTCATCATATAAGAGATGACGTTGTTTGAGGCTTTTGTCTTAACTGCTCTTGTTTTTCACCTTCTGTGTATATTTTAAACTTTCTTGCATCTTTGCCTCTGGATTTGCACATTGTTGAGTGGGAGACAGTACTCTCTATCTATTTTGGAAAAATAAGGCAAGGTCTTATCTTTAGTAACCTGCTTGGGATGTCTTCATCTGTGTTGGGTATAAGTTCCAAGTGCTCCTCTAACTGCTGCATTGTTCTCACTGAACTTCTATTTGGTGATCTTCTTTTGATGTTACAAAAATCTCATAGCCCCTAGTCTTTGTGGGATCTACCAGGAACAGGACAGCTAACAACAATCACATTCTTAATACCTTTTTGTACTTGTTGGCCAATGTGGCAATCCTCATCATTTGGTCTCAAACCCAATTTCCAGTTTGTTCAGATAAACACAGACTAACACACATTGTGCAAAACCCATGAGCAATATTCCCGGAAGTTTCATTGTCATGCGCAGCAATGTGATTGATGCTCAGGATTGGATCCTGGAATGGAAAGAGTATTTTAGTGAGGAAACTAGGGAAAAACTTAGTTTAGAGTTTAGCAAATAGTAGCATACAAAATGGTTTCTTGGTTTTGACTAACATATCACAGTGACTTAAAATGTTAATTTTAGGAGAAACTGAATGAGTGGTATACAAACACTGTCATTATGCTTTGCAATTTTTTGGAATTAATACAATTTTGATCAAATATCCATTTTTTGGATCATCAGTAATGATGTCCTCACAGTTTGACATGATACCTGGCAGTGGATTTTTTTCTCCAACTAGGTTCATAGGAGTTAGGCCAACTCAGGTTGAATGTTCTTAGATTATTAAAAAAAAATGCTGAACCCTCTCTTTCCATTTTATTTCATAGCGTTCTTTTTGGTACTGGGGATCGAACTCGGGTCCTTGCACTTGTGCAGCAGGCGGCAAAACCACTGAGCTAAATCCCCAGCCCCAATTCATAGCTTTTTTTTTTGTTTAATAAAAGGTTTTGACGAACGAACATAAGAAATCGGAGAAAAAAGCTCTCCCAATTTTTTAAACATTTTGAACTTTAAATGATGATACATCCTGGTAGTTAGTGGATGCTAGAGAAGAGAGATATTTTCAAGCTTATAATTCTTCATGAGGATTCCAAGAGATAGATTTATGAAATTATGATAGCAAGTGAAAACTTGGTGTATCTCTTCCTTACCAGAGGAATTCCTGCTCATCACAGCAGTTCAGAGCTCTCTGATAATCTGAGCTAGAGTGGGTGGCTTGGGTGGCTTAGAGGGAAATTTCTTCTCCTTTCCAAGGCAAAATCCATCTTACCCCAGGTACTAGAAACTGAAATAAAGAGACAATTCAAATGTGTGTAATTAGTGTGTATATCTGTATCTGTCTACCTACACATTGTGCAGCTTTATTAACCATTCAAGTACTATAACATCTGGTAAGATTGGGACAGAATTGGGATTGAAAAGTGAACAGATATTTAGAACCTAACAACTTGAAATTACTCACTACATACTCTTTTCACTAACCTAGTATACCAACTGTACTAAAGAAGAAAATATGCAACAAGAAAAATAGCAATTTGAAAAGATCAGCACTTTAGTAAAAAAGTAAAACAGTTTCAATTTAGTGCTTCTTTTCCTGCCTTATTCCTCAGTAAGCTGCTTCAAGACCTTAGTTTCATAGAACTTGTCTTTTTTTGCAGCTATTATATTTTTAAGTTCTTTGGGGAGAGGGGAACCTTTAGAGGGGAAAGTAGGAAATATGGGAAGGAATCTTTTGACTAAGGGCTTTAAAATCAGCTCAGTAGCCGGATCCAAGCTATGTTCCTCAGATTCTGTCACTTGAGTATCAGAAGAAGGCATAGTGAGTAGAAGTTGTGACACTGGCCTTGGTGTTTCTCAAATTCTCCTCTGGTAAGGAGAGCCCTGCTTGTCTGAGCTGCCTGGCCACAAGTAGCACCAACAGACTTCTGTGTATTTATACTAGTACTGAAGGCATCAAGTTTACAAGTAATAATTTTGGGTCACACAAATCACTCCTCATTGGGGCAGGGGATCTTTGAAGGGTGGAACAATCTTCACATAGCTCTTTGCTTATGCAGAACTTATTTACCTAAATTTCTTTGGGAAGGGAAGGTGCTGAGAGCCTTGTGAAAGTTGACTCTCCAATCACATCAGAGTAAGTGTGAAGAAAGGATGTTGTAACCTATTGAATTTTTACTTTCTGCCTATTCCAAATCCAAAAGCCATGTTTCTACATACTTCCTCAACATGAAGACTCTGGCTCATATGCTGACATACTGACATTTTCATGCTTTTATTAATGAGCAATTAATGCTAAAAGTGAGAACCAGGCAGTCACAAAGAGGCCAATTAAAGACTACATCATTGTCAAAATGCCTACAAGCCAGAAACCCAGCAGGCAGGAGAGTCTTGGGAAACAACATTCCACTGAATGATTGTTCTTATTCACATCTTCTACAATGTGAAAATTTGTCAAACTGCCTTGGAAATATATTTTCTTGGGTTGATAGTAGTGAAGCTAATACAGCCTTAATCACGTTCATGGGAAAAATATTTTAAAAGCAAAAGTATTTAACATATATATCTGTTTTGACTTTCAAACAATGCTGAGGCAGTTTCTCTCTCATAATTGAAGAGTTAATTAGACATTTACAGTCATCCAAATAAATTAGGTGCTCATAATATTGCCTAGTTTATAAAGAATGCCCCAAGTTGATTGTATATTTTTGGATCAAAGAGACCTAAATTACATCTCTAGCCTTTTACTTAATAATTGTATAACCTAGGAAATATTTTTTTTATAACTGATTTGAATTTTAGTTTTCCTATTTGAAATTGAGAGAGAGTAAGACATTTTGCAGTGGGTTGTTGTGATGACTTACATTAGACCGGATATTTGAAGACACTAACCTTTTGTCCTTGTAAGTTTCCTTACCTCCTCTTTTCTCTTCCTTCTGCCTACTCCAAGTTGTCCGTTCCCTCGACTCATTCTAGGAGGGTCCTGGGGAAGATATGAATGGAGATACCCTGCGGCTCTGAATTTGTTTTTACCAAAGTATTAACTCGTAGAACTTAAACACTTCAGTGATAGAACTTAAACTTGTATATACAGTGGGGAAGGAAGAGATGAGGACATGGAAAAGGGAAGAATCTGGAAACATTTGGAGGGAGAAGAATCTCTTTCTGTCCAGAGGAGCAGAAGAGAGATGTGTGGGTTATGACAGCAGATGGTTCATTCCAAAGAGGTAGCAAACTCCAGGGATGAAAGGCTACATGACAAGGGCAGGCCAATGGCACTACGAAGACTCATTAAGGCTTCTGACCTGATTGCAGCCTAGAAGCAGCTGAGTGCTATCAGATCTGAGAAGCCACGAAAGGAGAGAGGATGCGCACTTAAGTGGGACTGTGTGAAAATACATGATCAGTGAGCAAGGGTCCTTCCACCCCATTTCCTTGGTTCTTCATGTGATATCAGGCTGTTGTACAACTCTGAGGTTGGTGAGGGGAAAAAGTCAGAGAATAATTAACATTTATGTTTCTTGTCAGCCATAGCACTGGGCATTAAAATAAAAGTTACTTTGATTTTATTTACAATAAAGATATGAAATATTTCTTGCATACTTAACTGTGTGGAATGAGATTCATATTTACCTCATATATAAAACATACAGAATTATCTCAAATATGTGGAAGATGCCCAATTAGTATTAACTTACTCTCAACTGACATTAACAACTATGAAAAGGATTGTATAAAAAATAAGGGAATTTTCTTGTTATCTTTTTAACTCTCAGTATGAGTACATAATCTCTGAGAGACAAGTTTGGAAATACTGGTCACTTTTCTTTTAACTCAAACTAGGAACTCATTTCCTATTATGATACTTACTTTGTTGCCAGAATGGCTAAGATTTAATGTAATGGAGGAGGGAATAGAGACTCAATGGACAAAAAAGACTGTGTAGTTTGGTTTAATGTCTTAATTTTATTTAACTGGATAATGACAGGACCCTAAAATACATGCAAAGGCTTTCTGACTGCTTACATTTTGCTTTGATATCTGTTGACTCTTATCAGTGGCTATCTTACATAAGTAAAAATACATTTTTGAATAGGTGATGCTTTTGAGTGATTTGGTAAAAAGAGTTTTTCCTTGAGATTCAAAGCCAAGGAATTTAGGTCTTGGCTTTGAGCTTGAGTCCTATGACTTTGGATGAGCTTGGGCACTGAGGGTAGGAAGGAATACCAGAATGCCTTTAGTTTCCAGAAATGACTTAGTGTATCTTTTACTCCATTTTCATTTACCTCTTTGCAAGTAATTTACTGCTTGTACCTTCTCAAACTTCAGAAGTCTTACAATCTGGAAGTCTGTTTTGGGGAATGAATGTTAGGTTACTAAAATAACTTTGGTTTTTCAACCAGGCAAAAAAGGCAATTATAATTTTTCTATTTGAATTCTTTCAACATTTGTCTGGTCCTCATCTGGGAATATTCTGCTGTGTGCTAAGCAAGAAGAATCTGAGCAAAAAGTTTAAGGAGGTAAAGGTCATCATTTGCTTTCTCTACAGCTCATCCTTCATGACCAGTTTTAAACTCCGTGGGAGCAGAGTCCTCAAGATATCGCTGGTTGTCCTGAATCCTTAGAAGGTATACAGAGATCTACTTATATCTAAGGTAACCTCATACTTGCTTAACTTGAGACAACCTTGATTAGCTTGTGAAATTTCTCCTTTTTAAATTTCAGTGTCTCTTTTGACTTCCAATATGGTGACTAACATAATAAATTAGCTAATTGTTATTATTGCTGCTAATAGCAAATATGTGTTTTTTAGTTTATAAAACTGTCTCTATGAAAAAGATGAATTTACTCTCTTAGATTTATATGAACTTAGTAAATGAAGTCTTTTGGAGACAATACCCCCTTTCTGTGGTTCTTTACTGAGAGTCATAACTAAGGAAATTATAAAAGTGTAAGATAGCATTTGGCTATCCTAGTGAGAGGAGGTTTGCTACTGGTCTTTAATTGTACGAGTGCCCAAGGTTTCTGGATGTCCTACTGATAGTGCCACACTGAGAAGCAGTGGAGGCTTTGGTCATGAAGGATGGGGTGGAACTGATGGACAGGCCAGAAGGTAAGATAAGAGAGAGCCTTATGGAAAATCTGAGGAGCTACTCTCATCTCTCTTGAATGATTATAAAGTTTCAGCACAATCCTAGGAATGTCATACTTTTTACCTATATGCACAGATATAAGGGGGAAAATGATTGACTTTCTTCTCTCTCAAAATAATAAAACCTTGATGTTTTGAAGTCACCCTGGTATAAAGAGCTGCATGAAACTGATGAGGACACTGAAAACTTTTAAAGACTTTCTCAATTGCACACATGACAAATTCATTAGCCTAAAAGTGAAAGAAACCTAAATGACAGTACTCATTAAGAACACACATTTCTAGGTGAAAGAGATTTAAATTTCAGCCCCACCATTTATTATATGATCTTCTTAACTTGCTTATATTTGGGCCTGGTTTCTCACTTATTTACAAAAAAGAGTGCTTTTTTACTATTTTTAAAAAATAGTTTTAAACTTGCAGACCTCTTGAGAGCTTATTAGAGACTTCTGGGCATCCCTCCCCACCTGAACTGAGGCATAGGATTGTGAAAACTGCTGGCCCCAACCATCAGATTGCATGAGGTTAAATGAAGATAGTATATAATGGGGGCTTATCATGGCCTCGTTAGTCCCCAAAACATTCATAACATTGAGGTGAAATTATATCCCAATGATACTGGATGTGATGGTGTTGCAGCCCAGATATTTAAAAAGTATGCCAGAGTAACTTTCTAATATATTTTCTGGTCTGAAGTGACCTGCAGAACATGCAGATGCTGGATTTACAAAACTGTCATTTTATCTCTTTCATATTACTTGTCCTTTTATATATTATGGAATAAATTTTTAACAATTTAAAGATAACTCACGTGGAAAATTTATAAATTAGAAATGCAAAAATAATACCATGTTGAATTCCAACTATTGAAGGAAACTGCAATATTTTAATTTTTTTCATTGTAAGCATATGAATTTTAACAAGACTGCTTATTAAGCAGAAATAATTGTAGAGTTAATTGATATTAATTAGAGAAATTTTAAAACTCAAAATTTATTTGGATTTATCAAAATTCCAATCAATAGTTTTATTTCTGATTTCAAAACTTGTCAATATCCCTTGAATTTGTTATGTCTTAATTCAGCATGTAGAGGAGTGTCTTTTTCAGTCCCTTTTGTGGACCCACAAGGTGCTTCTATGGAGTTCTACTGTAACTAAGAATCATGGAATGAAAGGTGATATTGCCTGCCTGTAATGAAACCTGACATTAAGGACACTGAATTGACATACAAGATTAACTACGTGGATTCATAACAACAGTTTGTTCAGATTTCTGAATGTTTAACAACACTCTCCTAAATATTCAATGGGATTTTTTTAATCTTTGAAAAGTTTTAAAATACATACACCCAAGAAAGATACTTACTGCAATTATTGTTTACTAAACACTTAGGGACCAGATCATATAGGGCCTTGCAGGGATTTGAAAATTATTTTAAGTGGGATGGAAAACTCTTAATAGGCTTTAAAGAAGAGGGTAATAGAATCTGGTGGTTTAAGAAACATTCAGGGTAAAGGATGGATTATAAGAGATTTATGGAGTACAGAGAACTCTGCTGCTGTTGCTTCAATGCATGTGAATGGAGATATAGATTAGATAGGGTGGAGCAATAGGATACACAGAAAAGTGGGTGGAGCTGAGCTGTGGTTTGAAGCTAGATGGATAAGACTTAATGATGGATTGGAGGTGGTGTGCGAAGGAATGAAAGAAGCAAGACAAGGTCTTAAATTTATAGCTTATGTAATTAGTGAATGGAGGTGGCATTTAGAGGATAGAAAACATAAAATGGTGAAGATACAGGGCAGGAAACCAAGTTTAAATTTCTGGATCAACAAAGGGAATTTTGGGCTCATGTATTTGAAAAGTTAATGAGTGCCCTAGGCACAGCTGGGCCTTCAAGTGTCCAAAGGATGGTTTCTTCTTTCTCTCCCTTCATGTCTGTCTCTGATTCTCTGTTTCTCTTCTGTATTACTTCATTATCAAGTTCTTTTTTCCTATTGGGAAAGATGATAGTTAGCTTTGGGTTCACACAGTCCACATAGCTCACACTCTCAAAGGAAGTATGAGAGTCTCTGCCTCAGGCCACATGTCATATGGTCATGATTTCTAATTATCGTAAGATTGGAGTCCTTTGCTGGGTCATGTATTCATTCATGGACATGGAAAACTTGCTTCTACTAGAAGCCCAGGAAATAGACTGCAAAGAAGAAAGTGATTGGATTTCTAAAAAGAGCAGAAATACTTCACAGGCTAAAAAAAACCAACTAGTCAATGACCACCAACATGACCATTTTCAGAATTGGTATACACAGTTTTCTTGGGAAGGAATTGGATTCCCAGGACACTTGTCTCATTAAAGCTAGATCAAGGCACATCCTTGTATTCAGTATTTACAAGAATGCTTAAATTTCTATTTGTGACAGTTAAGGCATCTATCCCTAACATTTGGAGGCAGCGTCAAGAATTCAATGTATAAATTAATAAGGATAGTATAAAATCAAAATAAAATTAAAACTAATCATAATCTAGTGGAGAGGTGGGTGTGGACCGAGAAATGTAGACAAAATATGAAAGTAAGAAGTAGTTGGGCAATAGGCAAATGAGGGTTCATGATACTACCCCATGTTATTTGTATATGTTTGAATTTTCCTTAACAAAAGATAAAAACATGTTAAGTTGTAGGTTGTCAGTGAGTGATGGGCAGAAAACATTTTTTCAATGACAACTAAAAATTGTTGTTTTTATATTTTAAAATGTCACTCTTCTCATTATTCCATCAATTTCTTATGGAAATCAGATGGGAATTTGTATTAAATTAACATATCATAGGTCATAATTGACCAATTACCTGAAAGAAAGGCCAGGGAAATTTTAAAAATAGGAAAGAAAATTGCAAATCACCTTGTATTCTCAGAAAAGTTCTCTAAAAGATGATAATGTGTATGTTGGCTTCATGATGGAAATGCCATGCCTTAGGACTGTCTGCTCCTTGGTTAGAATTTTGACCAGGTGAGTCTAAGATTGATGTCTATTAAAAAAGAAACACATTTCTGAGGAAAAATTTTAAGCTTTAGGGTTTAAATATAATATCTTGAGAGCATGAAAAATTTCCTTTTCAGTAAATAAGATATACTAAACTCTTAAATTCCAACCATAAGATTGCAAAGGAGAGAAAAAGGAAAATGAAAAAAAACACAAAACCTCAAACAAACAAAAACAAGGACCGGTACTCTCTCTTTCAGTAGCAGTTCCTGTGTAGTCCTGGAGAGGAGAGCGTTTTCTTCAGGTATGTTATTCAGTTTAAGCCTTTTATTTTTTTGTTTGTTTGTTTGTTTTGAATTTATATTAAATGTTTTATTTAAAGGCTGTAAACATGAAAAAAGAAGAACACAACACAGATTACATTATGATGACCAAGTCAGTGTTCTACATGACAAAAATCAAAACAAAACAAATTTATACAGTAAATATACCAGTGCTGAACACAGTACTTGAAATTTAACCCAAGCTACATATGCATAAAATGATCTGACTACAGGATTATGCAAGATAAATTTTTTTAGATCACCAGAATGTCAACTATTCTGACTAAACCGACTTATTCCCCTAAAGAGTATTTTGAGACAATTTCTATATGACATGAAAAGAACTGACATAACATTTAAATACTACAAAAATAGTTGAAAACATATTTGTAATGCAGTTCTCCATAAAATATACAGTTAATCTTATTACTTAAAAAATTGAAAAACAAAAGATCACCCTGAATAATGGTGAAAACCTCATCAAAGAAAAATGCTCATCATTTGGATATCATTGGGATAAAACTGATAAGATTTTGTTGAGGGGAACAAGGAAGGTATCTAATGAAGTCATTCATGTAAAATTTGTTCAAAAATGTTCATAAAGTTGTAAATTTCTGCTTGTAACATCTTAAAATATTATACCATGAACACACTTTCTACTATTTAACTGGAGGATAAAAGAATATCTTGAAGAAAGTGTTTCTCAAAATGATGTTCAAAAGCCCAAAAGAATTCTAATATGGGCTCAGTAATAAACATAGTAAACAAACACCCTGGGTGATTATTCTACATTCTGAAATGTCCTACAGCAAAGAGCAACAATTAAAAGCAAGATCATAAACATATTTCTGGCATATTAGAATTCTCTATAAGTTTATGTTGTGAATACTGCTTTTTGTTTTAAAACAAGTTCCAGGCATTAAGAGAAATGTACATGCCTTGGAAATGAACATGTGAATGTCTATAAATATTTCCCTGATGTTTTCATTAGTTTCAAACTAAATTATATGAAGAAAAGACAATACATGACTACAAGCTTTGGAAAAGTAATATTTCTCATGAAATGGGGCATCTGAAAAAGATTAAAAGATAATTTATTAAATGTTTACAAATTTTAAATTGTTCTAAATTTAAAACTAGATCATTAACTAAAATTAAATTAAACTGAGATTGTACCATTATAACTTATTTACATTTAGATGATAGATGTCTTTCAAATCCTTGGCATAAAAATGATACTAAAACAGAAGGATGATATATAGTATCCTAATTTTAGTTAACAATATAGCCTTAAATTCAGAATGATTTAAAATTTGTAAACATTTAAAAATCATCGTTTAACCACTTTCAGAAGCCCCATTTCATGAGAACTATTACCCCTCCAAACCCTGCAGTCATATATTGTATTTTCTTCATATAAGAAAGATAAAAGTATATGTGTTTCTATTCAAAATTATTGCTACTTTTTTGGATTTTCCTGAAGACTACATAAACTGAGCCCAAAAGGTACAGGTAATGTGGTTGGGGAGAAACTACAATAGGTAATATATTTTGCTGAAAAGACAAATTGTTTTCTTGTATCATAAGTAAAAAGAAAAAATTTTAGGCATTATGTCCCACTCAACAAATGGAATGTATATACAAGTGTGGTTAACAAGCAATTGCCTCATTATTTAAATCAGTTGATAAAAATCTAATCTATGCACAAAAAAGTCCGTATTCTCTACTACAGACTATAAGAATCAAGTATTACATCTAAATATAACTTCAAAACCCTAAATTAAAATTAGCTTCCAAACAATTCTGAAATGATTAAGTCTATCCAGGCTGGTAACAAGATTTTCCAAGCATTAAATGGCAACATAAGCAAAATGCAAAGTTGAAATATGAGGATCGGACCCCTTCTTCTTCATACTTCATAAGACAATTGATATACTCAAACCCTGCAAATTCATATCCATCAAGATCCCTCACGGTGTCATTATCATCTGGGGTGAGCCGGACAGGTTCATTAGTAAGTTCAAGATCAAATTTGTCTGAATCGAATCCCTCAAAGATGTTTGGTTTAAAGGGAGGCACCACCTGCTTTTGCTCCATCATGTCCCAGTCCACATTTTGAAAGAATGGATGCTCCTGAACATCAGCAAAGCCCCTGTGACGATGACAACCCAGTCGTTCTTTTGGATCCCTGTTCAGAAAACTCTCTAGGACACTTGCAGCTTGTACAGACAGAAAACGAGGTATGAAAATGTCTCTTTTATCCAGTCCAAGCCACCCGGAGGTCACTGGCTGAGGGCTCCTTTACCTGTGGGGGCAGCGCCAGAAACAGGTAGAGCCAGGTTCACAGGCCTCGCGGATGGGGGATGGGGGACAGGGGACGTCGCCTGTCTCCTGTTGCCCAACAGCCAACGCCGGGCCTTCTTGGGGTGACTGGCAGGTGGAGGAAGGTTCCTCTGGCCAAGGCCAGGAACCAGGTGCCCTGGTCCTGACCCTTTACCAGACGCCAGATCCCAGCCTGATTCTGAATCCAAGGGAAGCGAGCCTCGGTCCTGCTTGGCCTTTGACCATGCCCGGGTCCCCGCCTCTCTGGGGATGCTGCCATCTGATTAAGTCTGCTCAAAAATGTCTTTGCCCAGTGAAACTCAGCCAGTCCCAGCACCCAGAAGGAAGCTCCCTGCCTCCAACCCAGGGCCCTAGGGCAGAGAAGCTGAGCCAGTCCCAGCACCTGGAAGAAAGCTCCCCCGCTGCCAACCCAAGCTCCTAGGGCAGAGAAGGTGAGCCACATGGGTGCCAGAAGCACCTTCCCCCCCATGGAAATGAGAAGACACATAAATAAGCCTCAAAAACAGACTTCCGGATTACCTACAGCAACCCCAAAGGGAAA